CATCCTGCAAGAAAAGTTGGGGAATGGCTGAGAGGAATTTGTTCAGTTTAGTGGTCTTTAGGAGCTGTATTTTAAAGCAGCCAGCTGGGAGATTGTGATGGGGGACATTATGTAATAATCCTGTGCTAGTCTGTATCTGTGAAATTTCCCCCAAATTATCTTGTTTTAAATATGAATTGCATTTCTGTTGTGCAATTTCAAATCTCATGATTTCATTTCATATAAATGAGTCGCTGGGATATGTCTTAACAGTAATTGAAGTGCTTAACAGGAGACTATGCGATAGTTTAATTAGTTTTGATCCTGTTCTGTTATATTTCTGGAATCCTTTAATAAACAAACAAAAAGCCCATTAACAATTGGTTTGCTAACCATTTAGCAAATGTTCTTTTATCATGTTCATTCTGTTTTCAGCAGAGCTGAAGCACAAACCGGTTCCTCATTTCCTGTATTTTAGACACTGCTCCAATTATTATAGCAATAAAATAATTCCTCCAGTTAAATGGGCATCAGCATCTTCAACTGCTGTCAACACAGCTCTGGTAATTGTGTTTAAGTGAAATCATTCTTGCAGAGCCAGTAGAAAGGAGCACACAGGTGATGGTGTCCCCTTTAAAGGATGAACCTGGCATAAATATATTTTGGGGTGGCTTTGTTTAAAAGATGAACCCCATCCACATATAAAGTAGAGATGAATTTCACTATTGGGTTGTCACTTCAAGGCCATAATCCTTAATTCTGGGGTCTTAAGAAGGCCCTTCATAGTATTTTAATTTGAGATATAAAGATGTCTCAAAGCTTTAGATACTTTTAAGTGATGAGGGCCTCTGGAAGTTACTCCATCTGTGAACCCCTTTGAGGACGTGTACCTGCACTCGTCTGAGGGTAAAAACTGCCACTGATTTCAGTGATGGAAGATTGCAGTTGAAATGATGACATTGGGAGCAGTAAACACCTTGGGACAGAGGTTCAAATTCTTACAAAGTGAACTTGGCCCTATATGCTTCCAGGATAGATGCACAGTGAATTTTGTGCACAACTCTGTGCAAGTCTTCTGGATAAGACCTTAGCTGAGACGCTTCTGCCTTGCATGAATGTTAAAGATCCAAAGGCTTTTGCTGGGGAAAACCTCTCGGAGAAAATGTCCTGGTAATCCTTTGTGGCTGTGTGGGATGCGGTATGTGCATTATCTTCCTGGTTGCTGCCTTTAGGCCCCCATTTTCTAATTCCAGGTTTGTTTTTTTTAAAAACTCTGCTTAGGTTCTTTTTGGTAGCCAAATGGAAAGGAAATATCAAGGATGAAGTTAGCCTGAGAATTGAGAGGGAGGGAGGGAGTGTTTTAAGAGATCTCAGCTCTAGTTATGAGTCTGCTACTACCCTGTTAACTTGTGTCTGTTGTTCCATCTGTAAAATGGGAATAATGCTTAAGCTTTGATTAAACAAGCAACTTCAGGTAAAGATATAGTTAAAGTAATGCAACATCCTGCCTCTTCTACATAGATGCAGGTATATTGATATGAAGGTATTTCATAATGGGTTAGCTATTCCTGTACAGGGAGAATAATGGTAGTGGTACAAGCCTACAAGGAGGCACTTTTATATTAACATAGCTGTGCCCACGTCAGGCCTTTTACTGTTATATAACTGTTCTGGTTACAGAATCGGCCATTACCAAATTAGTTACACCGGTAAAATTCAAGTTGGCACAATCACCTTTGTAAAGGGGCTTGAGATGCTTATCATAAAGGTGCTGGTGGCATGCAGAGATCTTTTAGAGTGCTGTCTAAAAGTACCTAGATGCTTACGGACTGACAAATAATGAAAAAGGCTTTAAAAGGCAGCTTGCTGCTTTTACTTCCTGGCAAATGGCTTGCGTATTAAAATGTTCGGAGGTGTCTGCCCTTTTTATGGGTCTTAACAGTGGCTGTCATTTGTATTCGAGACTTTTTGTTTAAAAAACGAAATTGCAATGCAAAGCTGTGGGTTTCCTAATCTTTGATGAATTGTGCCACCATGTTATGGGTAAGCTGTAAAACAGATGCCGAAATGCAGACCCCGTCGCCTTTTGGAATTGTTTTGTTCCCCGGCGTTGCCCGTCTCAGATCCCCTAGCCAAGGCCCCACTTCCCCGCACACTAGCTTGGTATGCAGAAGCTGCAGAGTCTGTTCACTGTGCTTTATTTACGGAAACAGCAGGGTTGAGATTGATTGCGTTGTAAGACAGTGTGTGGATGAGGGAGGGTCACAGCACATGCTCAGTCCTGTCAGTCCGAGGGCGAAGTTTCTGCGTTGTGCGTGCAGGCTTAGGTCATAGCACAAGCTCAGTGAAAGCTCTCTGAGGTCTCTCAGACTGCATGTGCCTCCATTTTGAGTTGTTAGAGTGGAAAAAGGCAGAGTTTTAGCTGTAAGTAGAGGTTCAGGAATACATCTAAACCCACCAGAGCCTGTCATAGTCATGGATGATCCATTCAGCCCCTGCAGGTAGGCTACATCACTCTGGCCTCCCTAACCAGTGATGATTTTTGCTGCTATTTCTGACTTCTGCAATGTTTATGAAATCATTTCATTATTCTTGCATGTTCTTCAGAACCTTATAATCACATCAGCCTCGCTGTGCAGCTGTATGTTTGGTGCATGAAAGCAGTGTAGCTACTGGCTCAGGGATGCACGGACCTGAATGCTGAAGCTGTGCGGATCGGGGCTTTTTTGTTTTTTTGTTTTTTTTTCCTTCCCTCCCCCCCTTCCCCCTTCCTGGTGCAGTTTTAATTTCACTTGCGCTCTCTGCATGCCAAGTCTGTGGCACGTCTGTAGGGAGCTGCAGAGCCAGTCTGCGGGTTGCAGCCTTGTCTATGTGGCTAGTAGGAAATGTTTGGGCCTGCAAGAGACTGTTTAGATAATGTTGCAGGGAGGGTCGTAGATCGGCAGCCATTGGTTGCCTTGAAGGTGGGTGGAACTTGTTTTGATTGAGAGCCCGTTTGCCTGGGCAAATGATAGTTCTGATGCTATTTCTTTAAGTGTCTAAAAGCAAATAGTCAGCACAGTTCTGTGCGCCTGTCGCATTCGTGTGAAGCAGCCATGTCGGTCTCCAGTGTGGGCTTGCTCATTAGAAACCTTCATTAAAAGAAGTTTGTCATGTGACAGTTTTGAGAGCTACACCCACATCTGCTGTACTGGGCTAATGAAATATTTGTGTAAGAATGCAGACCGGGGGGGCTGTATAAAATAACGCCACTTGTCCCTGCTTAATCAGATGCAGTAAATGCTCGATACCTGGTTTGGAGGTCTCCGTGCATGACTGGGTGGAGCGATGGGTGAGTTGTCATTAGTGGAAGTTGGGGGACATTGGGGTGTTCAGGGAAATGAGGGGAAGGGAACTTGATTCTGCAGTGCAGTCTTATTGGAGCACTACCTGAGCTGGGGCAGAGCTCGGTGTGGCGGGCAGCGTTGGTGTGATGTGGACCTCTGGCTTGCTGGTTGGATTGCAGACATGATCACATCTGCAGAAGGACCGCTGCTTCATGGTACTTCTTGGTTTGTGGTAACTTCTCTTTTCCAGTTGCTGTTTGCAAGCACTGTATTCTGGAGTGTCTGCATGGTTTGGGACAGGGATAATTGCCTGTGTGGCTGTATACCTACAAGATGCCACACTGACAGTTCACTGGCCTACCTGGAAGATAAGCATGTGTGCAAATGCTGGCGTTGCAACAGCACTTACTGCCTGGCTACTGGCCTCACCAGAGGCCCAAGGACCAAATGGGCTGCGAGTTGTCCTCTCATCCGGGGCGGATGAGTGCAGCGAGCACAGGAAGGCTTTGTTCCTTCCACCTCTCCTTGAACTGTGTCAGGGTGAAATGAAACAGTGAATGTTTAGTAATAGGTGGATATCGAGGATTTGTCAGTAACTGAGGTTGGTGTAGTGTTAGAAGCTACAGTACACGCATGATTTTTGTCCATTCTTCTTCTTTGGCTGAGGACTCATCCTTAATCTGGGTGAAAAGTTTCATAGACATTAGGGCTGGAAGGGACCTTGGAAGATCGTTGAGTCCAGCCCCCAAAAGTTGCTCTGGAAAGGTACCTCTGAAGCAGTGTCCACCTTGTGTGGACCTCTTGGTTAGCAGGAACCTAGCCTTACTGTCAGGGGGTACTTCCTTCAGGAGGAGTGAGGCAATTGCTTGCACTGTCTGCATCCCTAGTTTTCATGCTATGCCATAGAAGATTTTTGTCCAGGGTGGTCTTTCCAACTCCTTTCCTCATCACTTGGATTTAAAAACCAAAATGGGGTGTCTGGAAAGATTCTGGGCTCTAGCGTGGAGCTGAAAGCTTGGCCATGTTTGTTTTTAAGGCGTATCAGGTTAATTTAAACTAGCAGAGGTGGAAGAAATGAAAACCCTTTTAGATCATAACAAAACATACTTGTCAAACAAAAATGTTGCATTTGGCAAAACAAAAATCTGCTGAGAATGGCATGCTGGTAATCCTCCTTTACGTAAGCACTTGCACGTGGCGGAGACCTCCATTAAGTAGGGCTCACCCTGAACCTGCAGTCGGAGGAGGCTCCTTGAGCTGGGTGCTCTACAAACACAGAATAAACTACTATTTATTTTTTTAAAGAAGGAATGAATTGAATGCCTTTTGGGGGGCTATGGACAGAGGTGCCTGCTAATCCACTTTAAAAGCCAGGGGATCTGAGGAGTGTGCATCACCTGTTACAATACAACCGTTAGATTTGTGTGCTTTTGTAGGAATACAACTTAGCTAAATCAGGGTTTAGGTTGCGACAGTTCTCTCTTTATTTGTATCCTTTCCAGAAGTATACAGATGGACCAGTTATAACATCTAATGTCAACACTGTATGTACTGATAGGTAGAATTGTATCCATCTATACCCGGAGCCACCTATTGCTGATATATAATGCTCTCTGTTCTTGTGTGTGATGCTGCACTGTTCTTTGGTTTCTCCGAGCCCTTGATTCATCCTTTGCTTCCTCCCCCACCACACAGATTTCTTCACTACCTTTCCTGTGGTGGTGATGATGGACTGCCATTTTGGGACAAGCAGCACTCCTGGTAGGTTTGTGGCTGTGAGTAGGAGTTGGTATGCTTTGGTTGGGCAAAGCTCGGGGCCGGTTTGGAAACTTTCAAGTTCCATCCCTGCCGCTGACTGTGTGTGTGGTTTAGACTGCCTCATTGGGATCTCTTGTTGCTTCTGCAAAAAGTGAGTAAAACCTGTCACACGGTGGGTTGTGATGCTGAACCTTCAGGCCGTAATGACTCAGCCAAGTTCAGGTCCCGTCCTGCTAGGTGCTGTTCAGACAGCTAGTGCAGAACACTTTCTGCCCAAGGAGCAGTGCAGTGTGTGTTTGTCCAGTAGTTTGGAAAGATTAGCATGTGAAAGGGAGAGCTTTTACTGAGCCCTAAAGATTTCATAGCTGAGTACAGTGGGTCTGTATTTTTTTTTTTTTCCTGTTGTATGCCTTGGTTTATGAGGAGTTAGTGCCCGGTAAATCAGTAAGGTTATAGGTGTGGTGTCCCCCCCCCCCCACATCTCCATATCTCAAAGTTGAAATTTGTTTTTAATTAAAAACCTTGTCCCTCCTTGTCAGCATATCAGTGCCTGCAGTCATCCATGCTTTGCTTACGTCTCCTGTTCTTCAAGCCTTGCATCAGTGTTGTCTGCCTTCTGACCAAGGGCTACAAAGCAAGACTGAGTGGTGTGGGCAGGTTCCTGAAGTGGTCAGAGGGTTTATATTGAAGAGATGCCAAACACCTCCACTCCCCACTATATTTGCTCAGTAAAAGCTGAACAGGTTACTTCTGAATCTGTTGCAGGCTCTGCTGACCAGGTAAACTAGACCAGGTCTGCAAATGGGAGTTCACTTTCTTGTGCGGCACAACAGAAACCTCATGGTAGATCACCAGATCAGCCCTGTGAGCTACCCTGAGAAGTGGTACAGAGCTCGGCTCCTGCATCAGTGGCGGTTAGGCAGAGCGGGGACTGTAATGACTTGGATGAGTGATCAGTCTTTTTAGTGAGGTGTACAGGGATGTTGACCTCTTAAAACTAGACTGATACAAGCCTGTTTATCCTGATACATCTGTGTCCATATTAGGGTGTTTATACTCCTGTAGTGATTATTTTTTTTCTGAACCAATACAATTGCAACACTATAACAAACTGTATGTATGCAAGCTATTAAAGTGCACCAGGAATATTCAGTGAAACCAGATCACTTTTTTCCAGTAATTCATCGGGATGACGGCATTTGGACTCCTCATTTTAAGGAAAATAAAATGAATACTAACATTTGGAAAAAATAAAGGAAACTTCAGAGTAGCTCTTATTTGCCAGCAAAATATTAGCCACTAAATTAGTATCTCATTTAGTTTTAAATGCTGCTTAGTTTTTGTATTTCACTCATCTCTCACAATGGAAATGTGGCGATCAGTTCTATTTAGGACCAGACCAATTTTCAGCCCTCCGTATAAATCTAGCTCAGAAATGAACCCAATTTATATTCATATCCTTATTGAGACCCCCGAAGATGAGGTCCTTGCCCTGCGTGGTTCAGGAATCTTTCCAGCTTCTTGTCTTTTCAGAGAGCGCAACAGGAATGGTCTTTCTTTCGCCTCCTTCATGTCCTGACTCCTATAGCAGTCAACAGGATGAAACTTGCACTGAAGGCAAAACTGTCAACACAGGTTTGCCTGTTCCTGTTTTCAATTCAGGAGTTGCAGAAACTTCCATTTTGTTTTATTAATCTTGAAACATTTTAAATTTTAAAACCAGAGGTGCAATTCCTCACTTAAATGCAAATGTTCATGCACATAACAGCTGCTTCATTTTTTTTTTTTTTTTTACATAGTATCTGCTGTTAAAACAGGATATAAAATTCAGTTTGAAAAATGTCATAGACTTGTAATCAGCTTCACTTTCCTGTTGTATCCTGTGCATGAAGAGAAGAGAACTAATAATTCAGGAATCTAATGTCTGATGGCATAAAGTCATAACCAAATACACTGGTTGGGAGTTGAAACTAGACCAATTCAAAATGGGAAATCTGGATTAAATTTCAGAGTTATGGGAGTTAACTGTTGAAATAATTTTATCAAGTGTCTGTAGTGGGTTCCCCAGTCACTCAAAGCCTTTAAATGAAGATAAAATTAAAAGGCAGTGGCCATATTTTATGGCCTTAGGCAGGAATTCCTGAGTAAGGTCCTGTGGCCTGTATCATGCAGGAAGTCAAACTATACCTTGATCGTGATCCCTTTTTAACTTAACATCTATTCATCCTTAAACTGTGTCACTTGGATTTCCAGATTTCTGATTGTTTTTGTTTTGAAAACTGTTAATAGATTAATAAAAATTGAGCATGGATGAAGACATTCCTAATTCACACTCCCTGTCCTATCTATCCACGCTCAGACTTTTTCACATTGAAAATCTGAAGCCCAGTCAGGCCTGTTTTGTGGGGAGAAAATTAATTAAGCCTCCCTTTTAAATTAGAGCGTTGTTATAAAAATGTTTAAAACAACCCTATTGCTTCCTCCCAAGCCCTGCCATGGATGTTGCTTCAGAGTATTTGAGCTTTTAAAGGCCAGTGTTTAAGTATGGTAAGGCAGTTGTTGCAATACAGCAACAAGTGTGTGTTGAGCTTTATAGGAAGAATGTGTGTGGTGTGGAGTATTTTTGGGGGCCTAGAGGATGACAAGAAACATGTGAGACTCTGTTTTATAGAGGTTTAAAATTTAAAATGGAAAGAATACCATTCTAGTAAGCGTGTCTTGCCAATGATATACCCACTATGTCTGTGGGTCCATAGGAACCTCCTGCTAAAATCTAGCCACCCAGGTAGCGGGAAATGGGGATAATTATTCTCCCTTTCAGGGGATCGGTCCTTCTGGAGACGCAGAACCCTTTCCTCAGATTACTTATAAAAGTGCTTCTGAGGAACAATTTTTTTTGCCTGGAGAAGCAACCACTGACAGCAAACGATAGATATTTTCAGAGTGTTTCCAAGGAGAGCATGTTCATTGCCCCTTCTCTTGGTCAGTCTTCCCACATACAGTCTTGTTCTTCATCACATTTAGCCCCAGTGATTAGTGGGGACCTGCTTAACTTGTGGCAAGACAAAACCATTTTCACGGCTTCTTGTGGCAGGAAGGACTTATTTTGGGGGCATTTGCCAGCCCCCCCCCCCTCCCGGCGTAGATTAGCAGAGAAGCCCTGCCACTGCTGCAGTAAGTCTCAAGCTCGTGAGAGTGGCTGCGGGATTGCTGCGTTGTCTAAGTATCTTTGTAAGGATTAAGAGATTCTAAGACTGCATGTTATATAAATAATATGCTGGGATTTTTTGTTTTTGGGTTGATTTCCTGGGAAATCATGACCGATGGAATATTTCCTGTGATTGTGGACACTGTCATGATCGTGGATACCGAGAACCTATGAATTACTGTAAGTAGGTCCCTAGTGATTGGGAATTGCCATACTCCATCATACTCTGTCCATTGAACTTACTGTCCTGTAAGTACTTGAGACCAGCTCCAATACTTCAGTGAAAGGTAGATGAGATGCAGGAGTCAGCATTTTACAGAATAGCCTTGGCTGTAGGGGGAGCCTCTTGCTAATCCTGATTGACTTTCCTTGGTTTGTATGTGGGAGCAGGAGCATTTCTAACCCTCCTTAACATGGGAAGCCCATTTATTTGAATAATTGTGGATGCACTCATCTGCATTAACAGCCAATTTGAGAGAGAGGGAAATACAGACTATAACTGGTGGCAGTAAGTGCTACTTTTTACCCCCTTTTCCAGGCCATTAGTAAGTAACTTTAAATACCACATGCTCTAGTATGAAGCTGCTGAGTACCCCTGAGTTCACTTTTGCCACTTAAGACTGACCCTTTATTCCTCCCATGTTTTCTGTCACTTCAGCTGGTTTCTAGACTTTACTTCTCTTGCTCCTTTTGGATCCTTTGTTTGTCATATTGATAAAATCATCCGGACTCAACAGCTTGTACTTTTCTCTCTCCCCAGAGACTGTTCTTTTCATCCTCTCCTCTCGATATTTTTCAGGGTGCAGTGACCCACTCCTTCCCAGGCCGCAACCATTTTAAATTAGCTTTCTGAAACTTTTCCCATGTGTGGTGTGATGTCTTGGCTTACTGCCGTGCCCACGTAGCACTGGAGAGTGGCTTGTGGTAGGCAGGTTTCTAACAACATTCCCGGAGACCTCCCAAGAGGAACCAGTAGACTTGGAGAGAGGCACACTGAGCCTTTTTGAAGCCCCTTTTCTGCTTAAGCTTTAATTTGCTTAATTATAGATCATCTCAGCACACAGAGATCAGGGAGGATTCTGTCAGACAGGAGATCAACTTAATTTTCAGAGACAGCCAAGATTGCTGTTTTGAAAATGGGTTTGGTTCTTTCAAGACGCACGTTTTTATTAACCAGAAAGCTTATAACCGCTTTTGGCTAGTGGCACAGTTCCAGGGAGCCAGTGGCACCAGTTCTTTGGCACGATACGTGTTGCAGAGGAGAAGGTACCTGCGTGCATGGTGACAAAGGTGTGCATTGCGTATGAGATGAAGGTTGTAGTCCCTCGGGTTGAATACTGAGATCACCACCTCTCCATGGATGTAATTTGGTGTAATAGGCGTATGATTGATTGTGTACTGTGCTTTTATTCAGAGAAGAGCAGGCATGTCCCTGTAGCAGGCAGCATGCCTGTGACTTGGCCTCTGAGATCAACCTCATGTATTTCCTCTCCTTCCTTCCGAAAGTCAAAAAAATAGAACCTGCCCCAGGAGCTGTGGGTCTAAATGTTGACATTGGGATTCAGACTAGCTTATCTTATCAAGGCTGGGCAGTGGAGAGAGAGGTGCTATGTGTGCTTTTCCATTTGCCCCTCAGTTCTGATTGGCAACTCAGCCCTGTGCTCCCAGTCTGGGGCCCTGCTCAGCCCTAGCAGTGCAGTTCAGCTGTGATTTGCAGCGCCATTTCTGAGCCCTCTGCTATACTTCAGACCTGCTCTTCAGCACCCCATGTTGCCTCAGTCCTCCTCACCCCAAGCAATATAGGCTGCGTGTGAAAATGTCCCTGCTGCTCCCACACTGCCTCTTTTCCTGAGCACTGCCCAGCGATCTTGCCAAGCTCTGCCGAAGCGGGCCTGGTCGGCTGCAAGCCAAAAAAAAAAAAAAAAAACTAACCCAACG